TGGAAGGTGTCACCTTGCCAAGCAGCCTGCAGACTTTGACCTTCGGCACCAAATTCAACCAGAGCTTGGAAGGTGTCACCTTACCAAGCAGCCTGCAGACTTTGACATTTGGCTTAAGCTTCAACCAAAGCTTGGGAGGTGTCACCTTGCCAAGCAGCCTGCAGACTTTGACCTTCGGCTGCGAATTCAACCAGAGCTTAAAAGGTGTCACCTGGCCGAGCAGACTGCAGACTTTGACCTTTGGGCAGGCCTTTAACCAAAGCTTAGAAGGTTCCACCTTGCCAAGCAGTCTGCAGACCTTGGTTTTTGGCTTTCAGTTTAACCAGAGCTTGGAAGGTGTTACCTTGCCAATCAGCTTGCACACTCTGACCTTCGACGGGAATTTCAACCAGAGCTTGGAACGTGTCACCTTGCCAAGCAGCCTGCATATTTTGACCTTCGGTCCTGCTTTTGACCCTATCGACTTGGACGGCATCATATTGCCAAGCGGCGCCCTTGAGCTATGCAGCTCGCAGTTTAGTGTTTGCGTGCATTTCTCAGATGCCATATGATGATACAGATAAAAGATATTTGCACTTCAGCACCCTCTCTACCCCTGAGATGAGAGATGGTCAGAAAGAAGGGGTGGTCACTCCGTGTTTATCCCCCAAACAGTGTGGACACACTATAGGGGTTCTTATAGTAAGTGTTACAGGCTGGGTTTGATCGAGGGTGCTCATCGGGGTCGGCAGTTTCGACTGCAGTCTCATGCAAACTTACCGGCCCAAGGGTGCTTTCCTTGACTGCGTTCTCGTTGTGGTGCCATGGGCATTTCGGAGAATTCCGTGGCAGGCGCAGCACTTTGGACTCGGTGGTGGTCTTTGGCGTGTTCTGATTTAGTGGCAGGTGCAGTGAAAAGTGAACTTTGGACGTGTGACTCGTCTTCAGAATTTGGGAGAAGTATCGTGTGAACGCTTCGTTTGGCCATCTCCAACGTCTTGGGAAGCACGAAAATGTGATTTCGCAGGGCTGCACGCCGTGAATGTGTGATTTCGCAGGCGCAGCGCTGACTTGACACCCAGAGATTGATGGAAGGCGCAGCACTTTGTAAACTTCGAACTGCAGATTTCGTCACAGGGGCGACTTGGTGAACCGAAGCGAAGTTTTTGAAGGCGCTACACTCGGTGAACCGCTTTGTGAACTAAAGATTTTGTGGCAGATGTCTGTGCTCCAGGGTGCTGCAGTTTCGCCCGGCAGAAACTAGATAATACCCTATCACAGTGTGAAGCTGCCAAACCACACGGATCCAGAAGCCCTTGGCGCGGCCGGGAAAGTGGGTACTTCGAATTGACGGGGCAAGACCTCATAGGAGAGCAGGGCCGAAACTTCCACAAAATCCTCGTTGCCAGAGCCAGGGATCCAATTAGGTCAAAAACGGTGTTTCCAGGATTCGAGGCAAACTTCTGCAGAAAGCACGACGTCAGGACATCGATGCGAATTCTGATTCTTTCTTCAACCTTCCACCGCATCTCAGTGGTTTGCAGTGATTTTGGGGTTGGCTGGGTCAACTTGACAGGACGAAAAGGAGACCGAAAAGGACCGAAAAGGCCCAACCTTCGCATGCCGCACAGAAGAGATGGCTAGAGAACCTACAATAGCGATGGACTCCACCCTACTAGCCATGGCCTCCAAACTAGAAGAGTTGTTTGACCGTTTGAATGCCAGTCTTTTATAGTGGCCACTCAAAAGAGAGACACGCCCAGAGAGACTATGGACCGCAGATGAACTTCAGTCGCGGGTTGCGGTGGCCGTGGTGTGTCCGGCACTCGTATGAAACCTGGACCGTACACAGGTGTAGTCCGCCTTAATATCCTGGACTTCGGACACATCGTTTCACCATGTTTGATCGGAGTCTACACAAACTTGTAAAGCCAACAAAGACTTCAACCTTAGCGCCGGATCTTTGTCGAAGCCATCGTCGCAGGCCCCTCTACTTCGTTCTTCTTTGCGGCGGTGTAGCGGAGGCACAACCCGTCCACGGATCGACTGCAGATCTATTGAGGACCTCAGCTGCTGCGGACAGAACCGCCGAACGGATCGGCTTCCAATTCCATCATTCATGGGAATGGGTCATCCTCGAAGTGATAGTGAAATACCAGAAGATCTCTTCAACATGCTCTCTCAATGTCCTCAGACAGAGCTGTTGTTTTCCATGTCTCATGAGTTTTTGAAGATGATTCGGGATATTGATTTCTTCATTAATATCTGTTCTTTTTGCTCGAACATCTTCTTCTTCAGGTTGACGGTGACGTCTTCTATTTTTTGTTCGGGGACAACATCAGAAAACACACACCCCGAACACTTTTTCATGCCCAGACCTTTGGTCTAGCAGATCCAGCGGTCGTACCCGTAGCAATTCCTTTGCGGACACGGAGAGTGGTGCTATAGTTGCTGACAGTATCCAGCGAATCCAGAATTCCGCAGAACAAATGTGGGTGCCAAGAAGATCACCGGGTTCTTATGCATGAAAAAACTGGGTTCTTACCGAGCCAATGTGCTAGTTCTTAGGAAGCCCATGTGTAGGATTCGACATTGGCTCCATTGGTGCCCAGAGATTTGCATTTTCCAAAGAGGATGAGGCCGATGTGGTATGGATAAAGAGCATCAGAGTGGACAACGACCCAACGCCCAGCAAAACCTCACATAGGGTGCGGAGGACGTTTCATCAGGTGTTTTTGGGGGAGAATGGGTCAAACATGGTCAAACTAGGCCACCTGATATTCCCTGAAGTCCTTTCATATTCAATAGGCTTCTCTTGGGCCCTTCGGTGGTGGTGGTTTGGGTTCTTGGCTGCTGTGGTGTGTGGTTTTTCGTCGTGGGTGCACTAGGAACATCAGTGGTCGGACAAGGTTTATACTAATTATATATATGATATAGAACCCCAATAGATAGTAAATCACCACTTAAAATGTATTGGAAACCATATTTGGGGACCACTATATATATATATATACCCTATCGGTCTAAGACCGGGCTTTGTGTCGTCTTTCGCAAAGGACACTTCAATGACTGCTCGACCAAACATTGGCATCAGGACCCTGGTTCCAGGACGGGCCTAGCCTGGTGGGGCGCACCTTTTTCATGTGCGGTCGCCATGGTCGATGAAACGAGCTCTTGCTTTGTGTTCGGGGCCTAGCATCAGTTCATCATGAGATCATAGGTCATAAGGTACATGATTCAACAATGGGGACTTGAACAAGATCGTGACATGTCGCTGTGATCTATGCGGATCTATGTCATGGGTCTACTGGCAAACCATGGCCCAGGTAATGCTGGCCTCAATGTGCTGGGGCACTCGGATGGAGAGGGGGACCATGAGAAGGAACCCAAAGCAGGTGCCACCTCCTTGCGACATCTTGCAACATATCCTGGAGTCACATCGATCACATGAATGTGCACATGCGAGCAGTTTTGGACAGATTGGAAGAAAACATTGTTGCTGCATTGGCATCACGTGATCTAAAGCGATCTAAAGACAAATCTTGCGTCGTTCTATGGCTCGCATGCTATAGCAATTTTGGTTCAGAGTTCCATGGGCCTATGGGCCACCTTGGTGTAGACACACATGTCACATCGCCGGAAATCCAGAATGTCTGAGCAAAGAATGGCGCTACTGAAGGAGCATGAAAGCTACTGCATTGATGCTGTTTGGTTGATGTTTCCTTCGTGATGATCGGAAATTATCGAAAATCTATCAAAACAAGGTTTAGTTGAATGGCATAAGTTCGCATTATTTGGTATTTGGTGTATAGGCAAAATCTCCAGGCCTAGTAGTGATGCTTGAATTAATTAGGATTCACAATACTTCAAATTATTTTTGGACCGACCATATTTGGGATATCCTGGTGTGTCAGTTAGTGACCAGCTCAACCCACTCAGCTCCAGGACATGTACACCGACATCCTGACTCCAGAGTACATGGCTGACCGGCGCATGGACATCCGAAAAGCAAAAGGCCGTGGACATGTCGGGGCCACAGAAACAAAACGAGTAAACATGGTTTATTGGACCCTGGAAACATCTGAGTCAGGTGAACAATCGGATGTTCAGATCGGTGTCATATTGACAAAGTCCTCGAGCAGTCCGTGAAACCAAAGAAACAAGTCCGACAGCAGTGGCTCGCTTTGCTGCATCAGGTCTTTACCTTTGTGGATGTGGCCACCAAAAAAATTTCAGAGAGTGAGGCCAGACACCGATGGTGATGCTGGAGGAACATGTGAAATCTTGATTCTGCTGCCAAATCTCCAGTGTTTCAACATGGCATGTATACAACATATGAAACAAAGATCGAAGTATAATAACGGTTGATGAACAATCTCTCATTGCAAAGGTGGAGAAAGACGTGAACTTCATGTTCTTGCTTGAGTATTTGGCGACGTTCACTGGGGATTTGCCAACGCAGTGGGAGGTGCAGGCCACATTGCTGGGTTGTCGATCGAATTTTGTGTATTAATCTACCATCATGGTCCGAACAGGGGTTCACAGTTCATGCATGATCTTGGCATGAAGGTTTCCTGCAGGGTAGACCTAGGCATACGGACACCTTCTGCAGGTAAAAGCTGCGTGCTTCTGTCGGTCTAAGCGCGCCCGCAATGTCAGGAAGTCCTCGCCAAGATTTCGGTGGACCAGAAGCTGAACAGTTTCGATTGCTTTGACAAACATGAGGCACCACTGCCTGTCAGCTAGGTATCATTCGCCAAACATTGGCAAGCTAGATGTTGATGGCATGCATCAGTTATATAATACAATCAAAGACTCAATCAAAGTTTTGATTGTACATGTTAACTGGATGGTCCCTTAGCTTTTGCATCATGCAACATGTCCCAATCGGTATATCATTATGATATCAGTATCCTCAATATAGAACATAAGTTCATGAATGAGCTTCAGTCTTTTCAATAACAAAACTAAATTCCATGTTGGATTCTTCAAACTTGTCATTGCCACATCAAACAAGATTTTGTCTTTGTCTGAGCAGGCTTGGAGCATTATTGAAGCGGGCCAACACAGAGCCCTTGCCTCCTATGTTTGCAACCGCTGTACTCGGACTGTGAAAGCCCGGTCCGGTGCCCAAACATGTCATATCTTGTTGGGTTCAAATCATGATCTGGTCCACCAGTAGTAAAACAATTGGACTGGAGATCGAGTCACTGAGTAACTATTGGACATTCCTTTCCTTGATGATGTTACAAAAAATGCTAAAACAATAGTACTGGATTATTGGATTTCCATTATCTTTCTTGATGGACCCACCAAAAGCCAGCTGGTGAGAATGCGACAATTCACGGGGAGTCCTTGGCAAAATTTGGTGAGGCCGGGACGCTCCAAGATGTCAGCCCTGAAGGAGCTGGTCATGGCAAAGCTGGAGGCTTGGGGACGAGAGCTTCAATTGGACTCTTCGTTGAGCAAGTGTGATTCAGTTGATTAGGTTAGCTGTTCAAAGTTTAAGACAAGTCACCTGATATGGAGCTACTTAGGCGAGGTCGATTTATGCAGAACCAACTGGTGGAGCATCATGTCCAAGAGCATTGGTGATGAACAATAGTATGACCAATAAGGCCTCAGTGTCTAGATTGCACTATATAATCTGGCCTATTATTCATGTTGGCTCGCCTGAAGTAATATATAATAGATCTATTGACCGCAGTGGCATGGAAAAAGTGAAATCACTGTGGACCATGCACAACAACCTGCATTGCTGCATGCTCCCAGGAGAAAGGACTTTTGGACGAAAATGGAAAGAAGATTCCAACACCAGGAAGGTCCCGTGACAACTGCGATCTTCCCCAGAAGGTGGGGGCACCAGTGTTAGGCTTGGCGGTGACTGTGCTATGTGCTACGTGGCAATAAGGAATTTTGATTGCTAGACCGATCTCGATAGAACAGACCCACTCCCATCCACAATCATCCACACACACATGTTTTCCTGGCCTATTTTCCACAATGCGAGGCCAAAGAAGAAGGCGAGGTGGAAGCAGCATCTACACGACCTGATGCTGGAGAGACTGGGGGTGCACCTGCCCCCAAAAAAGTCAAGAAAAGACGACCCAAGAAAACACATCCTACACCGGATCGCCAACCCTCTTCGGAATCTTACTACTCAAGTGAAGGCGAACAAGATGGCAAGAAAGAGGGTGAGGAGGGTCAGGAGAGTGCAGAAGCCACAGTGTCATTGCACGAAGATGTGCATGAGGAATTGTACGGTTTGCCAACCCCAAAGAAGAGCACTACTATAGTCAGCATAGAGTCGAGTGAAATTACGCCTACTGAGTTGGAGCAGACTCCAGGGGATGATTCGTCATGCTCAGAGATAGACGAGAAGGATGGCAGTGGCAACGCGACGACTGCTACTGGAACACACAAGGACTGTATACTAGTCATTCATTCACTCACACGTGCGTGCATATGTATGATACAGCATTAAAGTGCATCGATCTCACAACATTCAATTATTACTGTAAACGTTAAAACAAACATCCCCTCACTGCTCCGGCAATCCAGGATCGCCAGCCTCTCACAAAAAATATTGCCGAGCTCCCAGACAGCTCTCTTCGAGCCCAAGTCTTCTCGCAAATCCAAAAGATGAAGTCTTCAAATGATATGGACGCCTTGCTAGAGGCTAGATTGATCGATGCGTTCATTCAGTTTGTTTCCAAGCTCTTGTACTAATTAATTACACTTTCATCATGTTGAGAATCCTGTGTCTTCTGGCTGTTGTATCGATCAACAGATCAACCATGTTGATCGTGAAGCTACAAACCCTAGCTCACTAGCCAGTATCGACCAACATCTTTTTGTTTGTTGCAAACTCGCCCACAAAGTCTGTGCAGGCCCAAGCCACAATGAGGCTGGCTGCCCGTGGCAAAGGAGATCCAGGGGAGGAGGGTGAGGAAGACCCAGACGAAAAATGGAGAGAGGAGGTCAATGAGGATGGCACTCGCAGAGGCCGAGGTAGGGGCAGAGG